AAAAAAAAAAAATCATAACTGTGTACAATTATGGGGTACAATGTGATTATTTGATACATAACATGGAATGCTTAACTCAGACTAATTAACATAACCATCATCTTGTTTGTTGTGGTAAGACATTTATACTATACTCTTAGTAGTTGTGAAATGTACCATTGCATTATGTGCAATAGGTGAGGTCCCACCAAACACCCTCCCTCTCCTGCCCACATATCTCCCAACCACTCTCCCTCCTCTCCCCTCCTTCTTTCTGGACTATAGTTGTGTTTTATCATTCATATGGATATGCAGGTGAGGAAATATTGGTTTCATAATAGTATGGAGTACATTGGATACTTCCCCCCCCCATTCTTGAGATACTTTACTGAAAAGAATGTGTTTCAGTTCCATCCAGGTAAACATAAAAGCTGTAAAGTCTCTATCCCTTTTTAAGGCTGCATAGTATTCCATGGCATACATATACCACAACTGGTTAATCCATTCATGGTTTGATGGGCATTTGGGCTGAAGCTATTCTTGAATGGCTTCTTAGAGATGAGTTTAAAGGAAAGTAGATTGTTTTAGTCTTAGTCTTTGCAGGCTTGAAAATGAGTCAGTGCTACATATTCACTTGATTGATAATTCAGCTATTTATGACATTGTAAATGAAAAATATAGTTTCTTAGAAATTAGAAGGTATTGTTTATTGTCTTCTAGAGTCTGGTACTGCTGTAGAGAAAACTCATGGCATTCTAATCACTTTCCTTTGCGTGATACCATTTCCCACCCCCACCCCTTGTCTTTCTTTCTGGAAGTTCTTAGCATTTCCTTTATACTTTTGTATTCTGAAATTTCATTATGTGCCTGAATTTAAAAAAATCGATTTCAGCAGACCCTTAAGATTCTGCATGTTTGGAGACTCATGTTCTTCAGTTCTTGAAGCTATTTCATAAATTAAAAATTTTATTTCTACCATTTTCTGTTTCTTTTCTGGAAGTCTAGTCTGAAATAAGCTTCTGATCTTTCTGAATTGCTTCTCTAATTCTTTTTAAATCTCCTTGTTTTCTTTTTTGAACTATCTTCTGGAAAATTTCATTGACTTTATCTTGCATAATTTTGTTGAACTTTAAAATTTCAGTCATCATATTTTAAATTTTCGGAGGCTCTGGCTTATCCTCTATTTGCACACCTGTCTTTCATGGTGTCCTGTTTTGCTTTCATGGATGCAAGCTCTTCTTTCAATCACTGAAGGTATCAGTGATATATTCCTTGACAATTTCTCGGCTTTTTGTATTTCCTATGACCTAAGTTCCTTTTTGTTTATTTATTTATCTCCTCCATGTTTGATGTTTTCCTCAAATGTCTGGTGATCCTTGAAACCCCCCTCATCAAAACAGTAATAACAACAAAAAAGGCTCTAAGTATCTGCATGGAAGTTCAGTGTGTGAGGCCAGAATTTGACAGGTGAACTGCACAGACAAGGACTGTTTGAGGTCAGTTCCCATTTACCTTTTCCTTGGGGCCTGTTCATTTTTTCTATGAGAATATTCTCCAGTTTTACATGTGTGAGATATCAGCCTGACTGTCAGGATCAGGAACTTAGAGTTTTACTATGAACTCTCCTAAAATCCTCATGCTTTCAGCTCAGAGACACAGTCCTTGTCTCCACTGTGATCACCATCTTTCATGTTTAACTGTGGAGACTTACAAGTTTATGTCTTCAGAAACACTGATTTAAAACCATGACCTCCTATTTTGTAGCTGTAGCCAGGGATCTGGAGGTGAGATGCTCCACCTCTTTGTGCCTCAGTTTCCACATTTATAAAACGAAGATCAGATTGATGCTTATCTGACTCTCCTTCCAAGTTTCTTATAATGAGTCCTGTGCTCATGGACTTATTTGCAGTATAAACAAGTTCTTAGCATTGTCTGAACATCTATCTTTTCTAGGACAGGCCCACAATTTCTCACCCCAAACCATTGGGACCAGACATGTCTTAGAATCAAGAATTTTCAGATTTTGGAAAGGAAGCCAGTACATACACTGTATATTGTAAATACTTTTAAAGGTAGCTGGGGTAGTGTTCTGAACATGTCTACAATAACAGTGAGAATATTAGCACTGGATTATATAGAGACAACACAAAACCCACAGGTATGTTCAGATCCAGGCTTGCCACCAACTGACCTTTGTATCTGAAATTCTAAAATCCTCAAAAAACTCTGAAAAGTGAAAGTGCTGATAAGGGATTGTGAACCTGTATTTGTACTTTCCCGAAGACATTTTTCCCTCTAAGACTAGAGGGAAATCCATTTACATTAAAATATGGAATATCATTAAGAAGTCCACTAGAGTCCTTTAAAATAGTTCTAAAGGCATTTTCACTTTGTTAGTGAATTAAGAAGGCAGAATATGAGACATATTTAGATGTGCTACTAATAGTAATTAAAGAATGCCAGAATCTAGTAGTTCAATACATATTTTCAGGAAAAAAAGATTTATCAAAGGTGGTAATTTGAAGAAAACTAAAAGTAATCTGGAAACCTCCTTCTTATTGTAATTTTCAGGTCCAAAAATGATTAAATTGGAGGGCTTAATTTAT